TTTGACAATCTTCCTTCTATCTTTAATTGATTTGTCCTTAAAGGCTACACATGTATTTAAAGAGTGGTGGGCATTATGCAATGGACACCTGAACTGAGACCGTGGAATATGCCTATCAGTCTTTGGTTCTAAAACAGCTGTTTTATGTACAGCTACCTTGAAAGATGGTTTATGATACTCTTTACAGGGAAGACAAGTCAAGTTTTCTTCAAATATAAAGGCTGGATCATTCATGGTCGTTGCAAGCTCATACAAGAACTCAACGAAAAAGCTGAACGGAGGGTAATCACTTGGTGCACTTTTTTGTAATTAATTGTCTTACTTCGCCACTTGACCTGTACAAAGGACAGAAGCTTCAGCAGGATAGGATTCACGCCTGCTGAGGCATCATAGTAACTTAAAAGATTGCTATAATTAGTGTCACTTTTCAGCGATAGAATCTCATCACATGTGTCAGCGAGTTCATAAATTTTGACCCTATCTCTGGTTGTAACCTTGGGAAAGTTAGCAGGTTTATTTTTGATAGAAGAATCAATCATTTCTGGGCTTCCATACCTTTCATTGAGTCTTGCCCACATTAATTTTAGACCAGCAGCTGGATTCCTTGAGTTGGATGTTCGGAGACTTACGGCATGTTTTTTGGATTCGGGTCCGAGCCACTTTATTGCAAGATCAAACTCTTCGGCAAAATTTGAATCCATTTCATTCCTGATGTCACGAAAAGTGTTTTTCCAAACAACATAATTTTCAGGTTTGTCATCAAATTTAGATAATCTTGAAACAAGGATATCTTTCTTTAAGAGATAACGAGAAACATCTTCAACAGTGTTAAGTTTTCTTGCTTGTTATGTCTCTTCTTGTGTCATACTTGGGACTTGTTCTCTAACGGTTTGGTTTTCGGTACCTACACAACTATTAGTGGATACATTATGAAAATTTAATTTACGATTTGTTTGAGTAGATGTCATATCTTGCGGAATTTGTTCTTTAATCTGCAAATTGTCATTTTGATCTTGAACATATCTTTCAGTTCGTTCTTTCGAGTCTATGTATGAACCCCCTTGGTCTAGGGCACTCAACTGATCAGAAATAACTTGAAGTACAGCTTCCGCTTCGTCTACTTCCCTTTTTGATTGAAGTATTTTTCGTGCAGTTTCTAGTTCAACCTGCTCTTTCTTATGAAGCATTTTTTGCTCTACTGAACGTTTTTGTAAGTCAGTTTCTTGTTTCACATAATTAAACCTTACTTTGGCTGTCTCTGCCTTCTTCCGTTGCTTTGCTAATATACTAGAGGAAACTGAACTAACGGAACATTTTTTTGATGTGCCATGTGAACTTTTACCTTCACTTTTATTTTCCCATAAAAAGTTTGTTACTTCATCGAAAACTTGTTCCAATTGTGTACGGAGTGAGTTAAAGACATAATTGTGACCTGACAGTTCTTGCTCACTTTCAGTTGTCTTAATTCTTATTAGATATTCTTTAAATTGCTCAGATAATTCACCATAAATTCTGAACGCAGACTTAAGTTCCTGTGTTACAGATGGCTGCAGGGACTTGTCTTGAAATCCGGATTTAACATGTTTAAATAGTTCATTAATCTTGTACTTTTGTTTCAGTAATTTAGATTTGTATGTTTGTACTGTTTCGTAATATATACTTTAAGACTTGTCAGTGAGTTTGTGTACTTGTAACCGAGGTCCCGTGTACACATTGGCGTGCACGTAAAAGATCCCTTGGCAGTTGGAATTCGATATAAGAGTAGGCCATAGCGCTGCTGCCCGGGCAAAATTTCCCTCATAGCACACTGTATGGCGTATGCCTGTCTTCATTAGCCCAGGTTAGGAGCAGAACAGCAAATTGCTGTTAATTACATCTAGAGTTATGGCCCTTGTTTCACTTTGTTGAATCTTGTGAATGCTCTAATAACAACAGTTATCATCTGATCTGTTTGAAATTGATATGCATCATTTAAATTAGTGCAACGAAGAATCCTATTGAAATTCAGCAATTTCCGTTAATTACGCCGTGAGTTATGGCCCTTGTTTCACTTTGTTGTACCTTGTGAATGCTCTAACAACAAAAGTTATTATCCAATCTGTATGAAATTTATATGTATCATTTAAATTAGTAAAACAAACAAGCCTATTGAGATTCAGCAAATTTCCGTTAATTACATCTAGAACGACATTACAACGACAAAAGTTATTATCCGATCTGTATGAAATTTATATGTATCGTTTAAATTAGTGACACGAACAGCCTATTGAGTTTCAGCAAATTTCCATTAATTACAGCTAGAAATGAAATGAAATGAAATGGGGTATAACGTCCTACTGTTCTGCTCCTAAACTGGGGCTAATGAAGACGGGCATACGCCATACAGTATGCTATGAGGGGAATTTTGCCCGGGCAGCGGCACTACGGCCTACTCTTATATTGAATTCCAACTGCCAAGAGATCTTTTACGAGGGATGATTGATAAGTAGTGAGTCTAACACAGAAAGAAACAAGAAATTCAAATCAAATGCATTTATTTTTAAACATAGTCCCCCTTCAATGTAATACACTTCTGCCATCGGTGTTGCAGAGCCTTTATTCCAGTTCTGTAGTAGTCTTTGTCTTGAGTGTGTAGAAAATCATCCACAGCGGCAATGACGTCATCGTCAGACCGGAAATGCCTACCGGAAAGACATTTCTTTAGAGCAGGAAACAGATAGAAGTCTGATGGAGCTAAATCCGGAGGGAAGGGTGGATGCTGAAGAAGCTGAAAACCACAGTCATGGATTGCTGACATGGCAACAGCCGATTTGTGCACTGGTGCATTGTCCTGGTGGAAAATCACACCTTTGGTCAGCTTTCCTCGTCTTTTGGTCTTAATTTCTTGCCTCAACTACCTTATAAGTGCTGCATAGTATCTACCGTTAATTGTTTGACCCTTTTGGAGGTAATCCACCATGAGAACACACTCAGAATCCCAGAATACTGAGGCCATCACCTTTCCTGCCGATGAAACAGTCTTTGCCTTCTTTGGGGTCAGCGACGTCACATGTTTCCACTGTTTTGACTGCTCTTTTGTTTCTGGCTGAAAGTGGTGGACCCAAGTTTCATCCATAGTAACAATTTGTTTTAGGAAGCAGTCAGGATCGGTTTCAAATAAGGCTAGATTCCCTTCTATCATGATGTGTCTTGAACGCTTTTGATCAGGCGTCAAAAGCTTTGGCACACGTCCTGCTGAAACCTTTCTCATTTCAAAAGTTCCAGTGATAGTAGAATGAACTCTCTCCTGGCTAATACCAACTACCCCAGCTATGAATGGTTCAGTAACTTGCCGGTCATTCATTATCAGATCATGGATTTTTTGTACCATTTCAGGTGTTGACACGGTTTTTGGTCGACCAGGGTGTGGTTCGTCTTCAATGCTGTCTCGGCCATGCTTGAATTCAGCTGACCACCTTTTAATTGTTTCATATGAAGGAGCATCATCTCCTAATGTCTCAACCATATCATCATGTATGCTTTCGGTGTTAGACCCTTTTTATGCAGATACTTAATCAGAGCTCTCGCCTCGATATGGTCCATTTTCTGATAACAAGAGACCCTACTTGATTGTTATGACCTGTCACAACCAAACAGTTTAACCCAATGTGATGAAAGTTTGTGACAGGGATCGAACACCCGACCTCCAAGGCTAGCGAGCCAGCGTCTTACCCACTTAGCCACGTGATCCCCCTAATTACAGCTAGAGTTATGGCCCTTGTTTCACTTTGTTGAATCTTGTGAACGCTTGAACGACAAAAGTTATCACCTAATCTGTTTGAAATTCATATGCATCATTTAAATTAGTGAAATAAAGAAGCCTATTGAATGTCAGTAATTTCCGTCAGTTACTTCTAGAGTTAAGGCCCTTTTTTACTTTGTTGAACCTTGTGAACGTTCGAGCGACAAAAATTATCATCCGATCTGTATGAAATTTATATACATTATTTTAGTAAAACAATATCTGTAGATTACTTCCAGAGTCAGGCCCCTGTTTTAGTTTTTAGAACCTTGTGAACCCTCAAACGACAAAAATTACGTCATCTGTATGAAATTGTCTATTAAATTCCCCTAATTACCTACAAAAGAATAAATATGTGACAACCCTTGACAACCGTTCAGACGATTTAGCTACAGTGGGCGTATGTTTGTTGTCTGGCAACCTATCTTTGACAAAGGTTTGCCTGTATGTATGTGTGATATCTGACATTAGTGGAGACAACTCCATCTGGAGTAAACAATAGGGTGTAACCTAGCATAGTTATTACAATATAAAGTCATATTATTATAGGGGTATTGGATGGCCGAATGGTTAGTGTGTGTGCATTGTATCATAAGGTCTGTCATTGAGTCAGCTGTCGTGGTTTTGATTCCGCGGTTGTATGTGACAAGGAGTAGGGTCACCTGTCCAACCTTGTGGGTTTTCTCTGGGTCCTTCGTTTTCCTCCCACTGCTAAAGACCCCTATGTGCAAGCAAATTATTGAAATGAAACTGAACCTTATGTTAGTCCCAAAATGACCTAGTTTGTGTCGAGTGGAGGTTAAAGCCTCCCTCTCTCCCTCTCTCTCTGTATTAGTATTATTTAAGTGATTTATAATAATAATGAAAAAATGTTTTAAAGGAACAATTCAATTTGTACACATATATGCTAGAGCATTTATAAACTCTTTTTTTCTTGGATTGTTTCCCTCATTGTTACTGTTTGTTGTCATTTCAAGTGACGCCTGTATCACTACAGGCCCAGGACTGTGCAGCGCAGTGGAGGCTCACAGCTGGCCCCAGGATCCATTATCTTTATTTGATACATATATATACGTTTGTTGTTTATTGTTTGCAAAGTCTGTGTTTATCTTGTGGGTTTTGTCTTGTGGGTGTGATCCTCTTGCACTTACTATTAATTATGTCAAAGATTATGCCTTATATTAACTGGTTCTTAACTGTTTCTTTACTTTTTCTTAAGGACCCAGACACTGCAGCGTTACAGCATCGTTTAGAGAGATTATTGGATATGGGGTATAAGATGCAGGATAACTACGAACGCCAGTGTGAACGCCATGCAGACCATTTTGCATTAGAGACAGCGCTATCAGCTTTTACAGAAGCCAATATGGCTCTTCGGGAACGACAAAGAAGTTTAGATGGTGATTCTGGTAGTGATCAAGATTCGTTTGTTTCTGCTACTGATGTAAGTGCCATAGTTGAATATTTTGAATGAGTTAATATTGTTAGTAATTAGTACAACTGAAAAGTCATTACCTTTTATTATCGGCAAATGTTTTACAGAAATGTTGCTGGGGTGATCCTCGCTCGAGTGAAAAACAGTGGAAATATATGTAAAACTCAAATGATGATAACTAATACATGTATATGGACTGTTTGTTGTATAAAATAAAATTGCTTTATTAATTATTTTTTAATTTCAGATGGCTAATTTATCTGATTTAGAAAATCATCGTGAACTATTCCACTATTTACCTCTATATGAAGCTGGTTTGATGGAATTAAAGTATGGAAATATTACTTGTAGAACTTTACGGTAAGGCTATTTATTTTGTAGATTTTTTTTGCTATGTCAGTATCATACTTTTCCAATGGAAACATGAGGAGAGTTAAGGATCACTCTTCCAAGATTTTAATTGAAGGACAGTTGGCAAACTTCACAGCCTACAAAAAGTCTGAAGCGATGTTAGGTGAGGGTGAGTGATTATTCTCCTTTTACCATAAGGTCTGTTTATCGTTAATGTATATTTATTAACTTATTGACACGAATGATAATGACAATATGAAAATTAAATGAGGCTTAATGTCCTACTTTTCTGCACCAAGCAGAGATGCAGTGTGATATGAGGTAAATTTTTCCTGGATTGCAAGTTTTCACTTACTCTTAATCAAGTTCCAACTGTCAAGGGTTCTATATTACATGGACAACAACATGTATAAGGGACCTTGGTTCTTCGTCCCTTCCAAATGATTGGTTGCTGTTCCTTGCCAGACTCTACTTCAAGCACCAGGCTGGATATTCCTAAGGAACTTTGGGCCAATCCTGTTCATCATGTATACTTCTCTGCTTGGTGCCATCGTTAGATCACATAACACTGAGAAGTAGTAATAGTGTGATTTGTACGTTTAGGGCATAGATATCTACTGATTTTGGTAAATTTGTACGAATATCGGTAAAATTCTAATTATCGCAACAAATCTAATACTGTGAGGCTAAAATCTGTAAATACGGTGTGTTAATTAACAGGAGTGAGAAATTGACTGAAAGGTGATTTAATTATTGCTAGGGGTGAAAATCTCTGCGACGATGAGTTTTCTGTACTGGGTGTGTTAATTAACGAACGGGTTAAAAAACGACTGACACAGTGCGTATTCTTTGTTTGGTGAGTTTTCTCGAAAGCGTATTATAACTGTACACTACAAATATGGTATCGTTTAATATGGGTTTTTTAGCGTTGGTTACTATTCATACCGTTTAATTTCAAAACCCCGTTCGATAATTGATAAAAATCGTTGAAGAATAACAAAAATGGTTTAATTAGTACTATGGTTTAGATTAATGTCAACGACTTTAGTTTCTCCGAGATGCATTTAAAAATAGACTACCCGTGCACTTATCTATGGCGTTCATTTATTGGACGAGCCGTTGAATTTCCCGAGATGCGTTTAAAAATAGACTTTCCGTTCAATTATCTAGGGCATTCATTTATTAGACGCCGTTGAATTTCCCGAGATACATTACATCGTGTAATAGTAATGATTAAATCACAATACAAAGTGGCGAACAATTTATAGGTAAGTATATACATAACTTTAGAATATCCGCTGCCGGTAAGTACATATTAGCAAATATCTTTATTACATCAATTTAATTGTTTTTCTTTGATGTGCTTTATGATGAAACAATACCACGGGTAAGTACATAACACTTTATTATTTCAAAGAAAACATATGCATATTAAAACAAACACAATTATCAATTTATTAAAACAACAATTAAAACAACACTGGTTCGAGTAGTCCAGTACTAATGTCTTGCATTTTGCTCGAAAATACAGAATAACTGTTTGGTAAAATAAGATTAAGATTTCAGTGTTCAACTCTTTACTATTTGTAACATAATTACTTATTTCCATGCAAACTGTGATCATTTTGCAATTGAACCTAATTTTACTTGCCAAAAGCCTCGAATAGTGTATCAATTGTAGCCGTGAAACAATGCCACGGGTAAGTACATAACACTTTATTATTTCAAAGAAAACGTATGCATATTAAAACAAACACAATTATCAATTTATTAAAACAACAATTAAAACAACACTTTATTATTGATTCGAGTAGTCATATTAATACAAATGCAATTATTAACTTATTAAAACAACACTTTATTATTGGTCCGAGTGGTCCTTTTGTATGGTCCGAGTAGTCTTTTTGTTTCATCCGAGTGGTCATGCATTCGTACAAAAGAATGGAATCATTCAGAAAGTGTAGGCTACTCAAAATAACGGAGTGAATGCGAGAATTACATGTAACACACTCGTGGACATTGTATAAATATATGACATGCGCATGTAATGTACACGTCTGTGTGTGTGAAATGGCTTTATTCAATATCGGCTTCCACTGAAATGAATTGGGCGACATAAAGTAGATGTATATTGTCACAGCGGAGATTTTTCTACAGGAATCCCTTATGAATATTCCTGGGTTGAATGCATGTAAATGTACAGTATTATATGTATACATAATTTGTAAAATAACAAATACATGACGCTGACTTTCGTCTGAAAGCCTATTGAAATTACTAAAATTATTAGGGTTTCACACTGCGTAGTTTTGTTAAGATTATTATTAGGGTTTCACACTGCGTAGCTTGTGTGAACACTATTGTTTTTGTTAAAATTATTATTCTTATTATTAGGCTTTCAGATTTTCGTCTGAAAGCCTATTGAGATTACTAAAATTATTAGGCTTTCAGACTATTGTTTTTACTAAAATTATTATTATTAGGCTTTCAGACTTTCTTCTGAAAGCCTATTGAGATTACTAAAATTATTATTTTTATATTTTTTTTTCGCCGGAGCCTATTTCTCAGTGCCTGTAACAGATACCGATATGGGACCTAATTTTCTATCGGAAACTATGTGGTGGCTACTTGATAAACTATTTTTGAAACTTCTGCGCAGACCGGAAGTGGCTGAATTTTGTACGGTGCATAAAAATTAAAAAACGGCCGTATGTAGCACCATGAGTCTTTCTGTTTGACGTGGAGAGCGGATTAGGGGAACCGGTCGCCACATCCTACGTAGAACCCATGCATCTTTTCTTACTACATATTTCTGTAGCCTTGTGATCGTCTAGAATTTGTCTCTAGTTGTCTTTACTTCTGCTTCACAGTTTCTTAAGACGTTTGTCTTACCAGGAATAACAATGCGACAGTTTGCTTCTACATTTTATATAGCATAGCCGAATACATATGGATACAAGCATAATAGATAACAATACTAGCTAAAACCATTTCTCCACCCTAGCCAGCCTCGCGGCTGTCTAAGAACTCAGATGGAAGCTCTCTGGAATCTAATGGAAGTCTGACTTAAAACTTTACTATGATTTATTTTATAAGACTCCTGGACATCACACACAGAAAGCCTGTTCATGGCCCTGAACCTATGCAATTAACGATATGATTGGTTACTTTATGCTAAATGATGCAATTACAATAATTCCAATCACGTGTAATTCTGGTGGTAAATTATTGACACGTTTTGGCTTAATAGCTCTTTTTTATATAACAATATGTCAATTACAGACTTAGTTGATTTAGTACAATTCTACATATGTGGGAACCTACCAACTTGCCAAAGATATTAATTAATGAAATATACTGCCATCATTAATTTCAAGAGCAAAAATTCTAGCAATATTATTACATTCGTCCCTCTGTTAAAGACTTTTGCACGGTATTAGGTAGAGTTATATAAGTATTCATAAATGTAGCAGAAATCTAGAAAATCAACATATATAATTATCACCTCCCCGTCTTCTAAGATTTATGCAAAATGAAGAGGTAGGAGACTCTGAAAAACTGCCATGTACTAAACCCTATAATTATTCATGCATCAGGCAAATATAAATGATTACTAGACCATAAAACAAAGCTATGAAAAAAAACCCACAAATAATCAAAAATCAAAAGTCAAAAGTTGCATGCAAAAGTTCTCCAAAAAGTTCATTACTGTAAAATCCTATGAAAATTCACTAAGCCTAAACACAGAAAACACAAATTGTCTTTTTTAAATCTCCAAGTGTCCTAATTTCAAAACACTATAACACATTACGTAATATTTATAAAGTTCAGGTTTCACTTGAAATTCTGTCTCAGGAAATCTCAATTCGGTAAACTGGTAAACCATTTCTTCTTCTTGGATTTGTATTGGTCTGTTTCAGCTACCATAGTATCAAGTTGAAACTTTCTTTTTTTTCTTCTAAGTGTGATTGGTTTGTACAATTTTATCCGTCAATCAAACATGTCATTGCCATCAGACCAAGAACTAACTATACCTATTTTTTTTTAAAAACTTTATTTTGATATTAGTCTAATATTATTAGTAGTAACTCTTACCTTAACCTCCTATTAAACTCGTATTATTGACTTTGCGATAATCTCACAATTTAACGAGCCAATAATTTTAGTTTTTTCCCAGAAAAACTATAACCAACATCCCTAGATGAACCTTATGGGATTTTCAACATAACCTAACTTTTTAATCAAAAGTTAAATTACAACAACTCTAAGGCCTGGACTAAGGGCCTTAAAATTATATAGTATACGAAACAACAAAAAACACAAATTAACGAATCACAGTAGAAACCACGGCCAACTAGGAAACTAGAGTTAATCACTCACAAACGTCATCCTTAGATCTGCCGTCTTTCTACTGCGACCCGGAGACAACATTAGTTCCTTACTTTATTCCCTATCCTTATCATTATTATTCCTTAGTTATATCAAAACATTTTTTTTTTTTTAAAACCTACTCCCTAAACTTTCTCTTTAACTTTAATTTTACTACAGGTCATGTTAACCCGATAATATACACACCTAACCAGTGATATTATATTGTTTAATAAACCTGTCAATCTAAACTTATGAATGACTCTAATTTATTCTCTATACAGTTAAATTTTAAATACTTAGTTTCTAATCAGATTTTAACTTTAAAATAATATTATTTGGTCTTTAAACAAATTTAACACATTTAATTTACCAAACAAAATGTTTTTACCCAATTTTTCGAATATCTTCACCAGATTTCTTTTTTTCCACCAGAATTTTTCCTCTGTTGCTGGATTGTACAGATCTTTTTTTCTTCTTAACGTCTTCAAATATGTATTCTTCTTCTAAGTGACTTCTTACCCCAAAGGTCGAAACTTCAGCACGGCACCAAATCGAATATGTAGCACCATGAGTCTTTCTGTCTGACGTGGAGAGCGGATTAGGGGAACCGGTCTCCACATCCTACGTAGAACCCATGC